TAGGAAGATGAAGAACTTGCATTAATATGATCTCAAGAAGGATGCCAAACACTTAAAAGTAGAAAAATGGATGCAATTCAACCACATGACATTTAAGATCAATTTAGGTCTTTAGTATAGGTTGTAATGGGGCCAAGGGTGTAAGGTGAGTAAGAAATGAAAGGTATGGATAATACAAAGTCCAAGGAACTCTTACATTACATCCCCAAGAATACAACTATCGACTTTTTGTCGAAGTAACACTCCAATTCCCTAGAAAAGCAAACTCAAACTTGTGCATGAACTCTTTCTTAAACTACTTTTAAATGTAATGTATAAAATGCTATAGAAGACTAATTATCGAGGAATGCATTGAATCAAGAATGCTAATGGGACCTTTTCTATTTATAAACATGCCATACCTGTTGGTACTAAGTGAAGGTACACGCACGTACCCAACAAGCATTTCACTCACTTACACGGCAAAAGAGAATGGACTTGTGTTCTAGTATGTAAGGCATCTTTTCAAATATATTTAATATATTTAATTGTAATTTTTCAGAAAAGTTTAAACAACATGTCAAATACCTTTTGGGCATAAGACATGGCCTGATGCCATCGTTTAATAGAGCAACAATCCGAATATTTTCAATTTTAAAATAATTTCCATTCACAATGACTTAAAAAATAAAATTTTAAATTTTAAATACATTATTTTCTAACATATCTTTGCATGTAAGATTTTGGTATTGTGTAGATGTAAGCAACTTCCTTAGATAAATCCCATCTATTAGGAATAACCCGCGTGACTTTTGTTTTCAATTTAGATAAATTGACCATACATGTGTAGATGTAAGCAACTTCCTTAAACACGGTTGACGAGTGAACCCAAGCTTTCCAAATTTCTGCTAATACCAATATTATCCTATACACATTCGGTAAATTTTCAAGTAATATGTTGAGACTGGGGAGAAAGGCACGAAAATGACACCAAGTCCAAAAATGAATTTACCCATCAAAATAAAACAAGAAAAAAGGGTTGAGAAATTTGAGGACCAGATGAGAACTGTGATTTTGGATAGTTTTTATTTATTTATTAAAGCTTGGTTTTTAGTTTTGGGGTTACAAAAAGCTTGGTTTTTACAATCCAAACTTGTCTTCCATAACAATTTCACAAATCTTAGATGAAAATTTATTTATTATAGGCTTCATTCAGTATCTTTTTTTTCTCCTTAAAAAGACAAATTGAGATTTAAGATGGGGGTGTTTTCATTTGATAGGGTGTAGTTGTATAGAGATGCAGAATTATAAGGCAGAAGACAAAGCCTTCTGGAAATCCAATGACAAAACAAGAGAAGAGAAAGCTTTACCAGCAGAAGCAATTAAGTGGGAAAAAGAAACCAGAAGTTGCAAACCAAATTCCTAGTTTCCAAAACAGTAAAGTGGTGGTTGAATTGTGATGAACAGAATCAACGCAAAGGCACCAAAAATTTGTAGACACAGTTAGCTCAAATTCCATAAAACTCATTGCCACCTGCATCGTTCTCTGTTTTCCATGTTGGATTCAAACCCACAGATTTCGAATGTAAGAAGAAAAATTTAAAGGTCTACTGCCAAGAAATATAAGGAAGCAAGGAGCCATTTGCTTCATGAATTGTTGACAGAAATTGGCTCCTGTATGCTAACAAAAACTCAATTGCATCATTTTGCACTCGCACTCCCCTCTTCTGTGCCCTCTTTTTTCTAGTCTTAAGATTGAATAAATCAAGCCAAAGGAGAAAATGAGAATTTAAAATCATTACCCTTCAGGTTATATACTGAAGAGCTCGATTTGGTACGATATATAGTCCAAGACCCCTTGTACACATTTTGAAACTAAGAAAAGCATATGCAAGTAGACTTAATGTGAGAAAATTCGTGGACCTCCTTTATGAAGTTTTACACACCTAACGAATTAAGGCAAATAGGATTTTGACAAGTAAAAGAATTAAATCATATATCCACGATGAAAGTTAAACAAAAGTCTAAACTTTCATAGACGTTTCTGGCTTGCTTGTAATTCATAATTTCCACCTAAACTTAAGACTCCCTTAAAAGATTAAAAAAAATTTATGAAGAATGATGTAAATACTCAGAGAGGATTTATATAATAGCAGTCTAGTAATATATAATCAGTCTTGTAGAGGACTGAGCAGCTGCCCGATGAACAACACCGCTCCAGTCATTTCCTCTCTGATAAAAAACAAGAATGGGTGATCTGCCACAAAGTCTATCTTCTTCCTAGGCTTATATAGCATCGACCCTGCCTTCTTTACAAAAGCTGTAACAGCTGCAGCTTCCGTTCCTTCTTCATTAACTTCAATGACCGCTCCCTGGAGAATATCTGAAACAAAAGGGTCCTCACCCGGAGGCGATTCCACCATCTCTGTCAAGTTGCCTCCTTTATATGGATCAAAAAGGAAGGGAAGCTCCAAACCTAACTGCTTGAGAATGTCACAAACTTTAAACCTAGAAGTAATCTTAAACTTTGGGATTCTAAAGTCACCCACTTCAACATCGCAACGTGGAATATGGCGATCTAAGAAGCCAGGCTCAGAACAAACTCTCTCAACAAGAGCAGGTAGCCCATCCTTTTCATCTGGAAGAAACAAGCACATGCAAAAACGCCGCTGCTCATCCTTTCCTCGTTTGTATGGGAGTTTCAATACTTTGAAGCCGTCAAAGGCCTTTATAAAGTGGTCGTTGCGGCTAGTCATGAAGGGTGCCTTTATATTTGATCTACCATTGAGAAGGTGGAAGACATAGTCCTTCGTTTTTGAGCCATCAAACGGATCTTCATCCCAAGCTCCTTTGAAGTATAATGCATTTGCCAAGATGAGCCTTGTTGAGCTATTAACTGTCCCTGAAGGAAGAACCTCTGTAATAAGGCCCTTAGTCTCTTTTGCAGCCCATGAGTTGACTTCAGTTCTGGCTTCTTCGGCCTTGTTCTGGAAATCGACTTGCTTTGGAACCCCCTTGTAAGAAGTATCCACCACCTCTTTGAAAGAAGGCTTGAAAGGGAGAGACTTGTCGATCCAAAGGCCATTCGCAAAGGACAAGCACGGACCGCCGCTGGGGGAGCCGTTGGCAAACACCAGAGGGACGAGATTGGAGGCGAGGGAGTTGAGTTCGGCGGTGGACTTAGACTTTAGGAAAGAGAGCAGCTCGTCTTGGGTTGCACCCTTTGTACCAGCTGCCGTCAGGCTTAGCAAAGTATGAATGGACAGCGGCGAGTACACCATGTTCTTCCCGTTGGCTTTAGTTTGAAACAGGTGCTTCGTCATTCTTAGGCCGACGTCGGTTTGGTTGCGCACTGATTCTCGAAGGTCTATTGTTCCCGGAACCACAGAGGTGCTTAGAGTTCTGATGTTGTTGTAATTGTTGTTGTGGATGGAGGTGAAACGAGGAGGGGGCAGAGGACATCGTGTCTTGAAGAAGGAAGACAGCGTCATGCTTCGTGCGTGTCGAATCGCTATGAGAGACGCCATTGCTATGACAGATGTAGCTCTGATTAAACCCTAGAACACTATTTTAAGTCTGCAGCGCGTAACTACTATATAGCCAAAGAAAAGAAAAAATAGGAAAGAAGAACAGAACACTCGGCCTTTTCTAGAAGTTCAATTACTTGTTGTACAAGGATACGTACTCTACTGCCAAATTTATATTATATTATCTGAATAAGGTTATAAAATTATCAAGGTTGTTTGCATAAGGATTGTTACTGAATTAAACTCCAAAAAGAGTCCTATTTTATGTGCAAAAGGGAACGTTGTGGTTAGAGTTTTGTATTTCAATTGGATAATAAAACTGCTGAATTGATTGAATTGAATATAATAATATAAGAATATCATTCCACCGACTTGTTTCTTAATCTCAATACATGAGGTTTAATAATGCGCTACAAAAAGAAAGATTATTAATTTGGAGATTCGATCTAATAAATGAAAGGAAATAATCTTACTTCTTATTCATTTGATTTGGTGCAATGCAAGCTTATATTAGCTGTAATACAAATATGATAGAGAAAGATACAGAGTACTGCCTAAACAACTCCTTCCTTTTCTTCTTCCTTCAAGCGGGCAATCTGCATGGCTTAGACATTTCATCCTCGTCCTTATCAGCGAACTAGTTGAGCCCCTACCATATACGACTTCTTTGGACCTTTCTTGAAATTCTCCACAAACTCGAACGTCTTCTTGAAGTTGGTGAAACGTTTCTCTTTCTCTTCATTGCTCGAGTAAACACGCTTGTACTCTATTATCCAATCCCCGAATGCTTGAGCAACGTTTGCAAGATTTTCCTCCATGACGATACTGATGTTGCAGGGGAAGTGGCTTCAGACATTGCCTCCTCCGAGTTCCCGACCAATAGTAATAATGCTAGGAACAATAATATGACAAAGTTTCTTTGATAAAATCTCATTGCTAAACCCTATATTCTCTACTGACAAAATAAAGAGACAGCTACAGAGAAAGGCATACGTGGGAATGGATCAAAAAGGTGAACAAGTATCTGAAATGTGGTTCAAAAAGGTGGGTCTAATCCCCACCTGGATTTCTTTAGAGAAAACACTAGGGACAAATTTTCCTTCTTACTCTAAGTAGCTTAAATGTCAAAGGACACATCTTACTCTAAGTAGCTTAAATCACTACAGCCACCGGAACAATTACTAATGATCTCATTTAGCCAAAAACAGACGACATCAAATGTACAAGAATTAACTTTAACATGGACTACTAACTTAGGACCTCCTTTATGAAGTTTTACACACCTAACAAACTAGGCCAAAAGAGAATTTTGACAAGTAAAAGAATTAAATCATAAGTCCTCCTTGAAACCACATCAAATCGAAGATAGATAATAATTAAACAAAAATCTTAACTGAATTGACTCATCAGAATTTTAATCCAAAGAGAAATAAACAAAAAGAGGACATATTTATTAATACTAGTCTAGAAGAGGATTGAGCAGCTGCCCAATGAACAACACAGCTCCAGTCATTTCCTCTCTGATCAAAAATAGGAATGGGTGATCTGCCACAAAGTCTACAGGTGGTTCATATTCACCTAAACACATACCCATATTATCCCAAACTGAAACAGCGGCAGCTTCCGTTCCTTCTTCATTAACTTCGATAACGGCTACCTGACTCATTTTGGATTCAAAAGGGCCCTCACCCAGAGGTGATTCCACCATCTCTTCAACTGAGGAAGGAAGCTCCAAACCTAACTGCTTGAGAATGTTGCAAACTTTAAACCTAGAAGTAATCTTAAACTTTGGGATTCTAAAGTCACCCACTTTAACATCGTAATGCGGAATATGGCGATCTAAGAAGCCAGGCTCAGAACAAACTCTCTCAACCAGAGCAGGTAGCCCATCCTTTTCATCTGGAAGAAACAAGCACATGCAAAAACGCCGCTGCTCATCCTTTCCTCGTTTGTATGGGAGTTTCAATACTTTGAAGCCGTCAAAGGCCTTTATAAACTGTCTGTTGTGGCTAGTCATGAAGGGTGCCTTTATATTTGATGTACCATTGAGAAGGTGGAAGACATAGTCCTTTGTTTTTGAGTTATCAAACGGATCATCATCCCAAGCTCCTTTGAAGTATAATGCATTTGCAAAGATGATCCTTGTTAAGCTGTCAACTTCCCCAGGACGAAGAACCTCTTCAATAACGCCCTTAGTCTTCTTTGCAGCCCATAAATTGAATTTAGTTCTGATTTCTTCAGCCTTGTTCTGAAAATCGGCTTGCTTTGGTACCACCTTGTAAAAAGCATCCACTATTTCCTTGAAAGAGGGCTTGAGAGGGAGAGACATGTCGACCAAAAGGGCATTCGCGAAGGACAGGCAGGGACCGCCGCTTGGGGAACAGTGAGCAAACAGGATAGGGGCGAGATTGGAGGAGAGGGAGTTGAGTTCTGTGGTGGACTTGGACTTTAGGAAAGAGAGCCATTCGTCTTGGGTTGAACCCTTAGTGGCGGCTGCTATCACGCTCAGCACGACATGGATGGACAGCGGGGAGCACACCGTATTCTTCTCCTTGGCTTCAGTCAACAACAGGTGCTTCGTGATTCTTAATCCAACGTCGGTTTGGTTGCGTACCGATTCTTGGAGGTCCATTGTTGCTGGAAACACAAAGGCTGTGTGGTTAGAGTTTGTCAAACAAAGTAGGGCAAATATTCAAATAATGCTCATCTATGCTCATATTATTATTTCAATATGGAGGTATTTATACAAATACAAAGATGTATTAACTCTAAATAACATTGAAAATATATCTATATTAGAATAGGAAATAAATCTCTATTACAATAAGACTAAATAATAATTAGCAAGTAACTAAATCCTAACATAATAAGGAATAAAAAATTCTAACTAAGAACTCGTCAACAATGATGTTATTGTGAATGGAGGTAAAACGAGAGTAAACGTCCTATAAGTTTTGATTTGTTTAATATTTTTATAGGCGCAATAAGCTGTACAGATGCGCTCCTGTGAGGCTGTGAGGAGGATATTCTTCTTATAAACCCTAATATAGAGGGTAAATCACGCGATAGCGAAGATCTAACCCAAACGGAATCAAACCCCAAAGAAAACATGGAGTATATTTTTTATTTGTATATATGAGTATATATTGTGGACCCTAGCTCGATGGGTAAGATTTCTTTGGTTATACGTACGGTTTCATTAAATTCTTTTTGGTTTTTTTACATATAAACCGACACCGACTGAATTTTTTTTTTTTTGGGGGGGGAAGAAATTTAACCCTAGCTAATACTCTCTAAGTCTGCAGCGTTGTTCCAACAAAAAAAAAAAAAAACAGTCTGCAGCGTTGTTATCTAACTTAGGGCTCTTATAGCCAAAAAAAGAAAAACGCTCAGCCTTTTGTAGAAGTATCCCTTACTTGCGGAACAAGATTACTCTGCTACCAAATTCTATTGTTTTGGTGGCTTAAAAATTATAATTAGTACGAAATGTGCTCCAAGCATTCCTAATAAATTGTCTTAAAAGATCCTCATATAATCAGGTAATTAATACAAGTCATAATTTGGAACAAAGAATATATATTTTTTATTATATAAAAGCGATATTATGTTTTAATCTAATCTAAAGTACAGGGAGGGGAATTCGAACTCGGATGCAGAGTGGGGAGCACATCCGCTCCAGTCACCTTGGCTAAGCCTGTGTTTGCTAGGAACAAAAAATACGAAGTAATTTTTTTAATATACCCTAAATGTTTTAAGAAAAAATATATATTATTCTTTTGCAAGACGTACCTTAGAAAATTCTATGAGAGATGAACAATAACATTATTGTTATAAAAGGAATGTGGAGATCATAGAAATATAAAGAATGTGCTCTTAAGTCAACAAGTGAATTTAGATATTCCTACCTCCAATATTAGAGATTTCTGCTCACTTAAGAACCTAAAAATAAGGAGCTCAGAGGAGCTTTTTAATCTAACGATACATATAGTTATTAGTCTTAACCTTAATTCATACTCATTGTTTTACTTAAATAACAATCTTAAATTTTCAAAACAAAGAAAAAGAAAAAAAGAATACACGTTCAAGGCTTGTCTTCCTTCCTCGCAACAATCTTCACCTCCTCGTTCCCTTCTTCTCTCTCGCTCTCTCTGTCTCATTGTAGGCATAACCAAGCTTTTTAAAGCCAACTTCTTAGTTGGGTTTGTTGATTAACTTGATTTTAAAATGTTACTCTGGATTTTTTTTTTCTTCAAAAAATCTTGTTTATTGAAAAGCCAGTGAACCCTGCATACACTGCTGCACTTCAAGTTGAAGAAAAAAAAAAACAAAAAACAAAGGAAAAAAGAACAAAACGCTCGGCCTTTTCTAGAAGAGCTATTACTTGTTGTACAAGGATACGTACTCTACTGCCAAATTTATATTATATTATTTGACAAGTGAATAAGGTTATAAAATTATCAAGGTTGCTTGCATAAAGATTGTTACTGAATTAAACTCCAAAAAGAGTCCTATTTTATGTGCAGAAGGGATGGTTGTGGTTAGAGTTATGAACTGTCCAAATTCATTAGGAGCGACCCACCGCCGCACCCCTACTTCTCAACTAATGATACAATTATATAACCTACCTTCAAGGTTTTGAGATCCAATTTTTGGGGTGGGTTAATTTGTAGGATTGGGTTAATCAGAAGTATGAGGTAGGGTGCTGGAGGCCATTTTTTTTTTTCTTGAGCTTTTTAGATTTAGATCTAAAAAGATTAGAAGCGGGAACATGTCACCTTAATTTTTCGTAGTTGGAGTACTGTTGACTAGGCACAATCATGATTTTATTTGGGTTATTGTTACAAGATTCCTTGAAAGATGCTCAATTTATTGGTGGATATGTTATTAGGTGTAGATACAAGTGGAATTATTGATAATAATTATTATGACATCAAAAGTGAATAATTATAATTGTGTGGATTGAGTAATTGTGAGGTGCAACATTTGTGTGGGTATGAGTTAGATTAATGAAATGGGAAGTGATGTTACTGTTTGAGACAGACCCCACACACCCCACCACTCTTCATATTAAGTTTTAGAAAAATACAAACTCCTCTACATCCTATTGCCAGATTACTCTTCTCTTTTAAAGACGTAGAAAATTGACGAGCCTACCTCTTTAAATATGCGTGGGAGTTGATGGAAAGGCTTGTTGATTATCAACTCAACAATACCCAAGTGTTGGAATTCCAGTTACAGTTCCTGGAGAGAGGTAAAGTTGTTCTCTTTCTCTAGAAAGTATTAAATTTCGGGTTTGGGGTTCTATTTGTTTGTGTTTTTTTTTGCTGGGAACAAAGAAAATTGTGGGGTTTAAATAGAAAATTTCTTTTATTTATTTATTTATTTTTTTCAATTTGGGGTGTATTTAAGGGTAGTTTGGGAAGATAGTGGGGTTTTCTTAGAAATTGTGAAAATTTAAATTAAAAGATGGGGTGAACTTAGAACATGGGGTGAACTAAGAGAAGTGTGGGGTTTAAATAGAAAATCTTTTTTTTTATCAGACCGAATATGAAAGTTGGAAAGTATGACAATGTACATTCTTTTGTGTTTGAGAATTGGAGTTTGGCCTCAAGAAGAAATATTTTTGGTATGACAAATTTCGAGGACGAAATTTCCTTTAAGGAGGGTGGATTGTGAGACCCTGATATTTTGAGGAGCTAATATAGGTTAATTTTAAGAGAATTTTGTGGATGGAAAATATTGGAGTTAAGAGCAATGGCGGACCCAGGAATTTTTATAGGGCTAGGCTAAATAATTTTTTTTTTTAGAGGAGATATATTATAAGTTTTTTTTTCTCATGAAACAAAAATGTAAATAAAATTTTATAAATCAAACAAAGTCACATTACAAGCAAATATAAGATCCGAGTTCATAAAGTTTCTCATGAATTGAAGTATCAACATTAGATGCAGAAGGTGTATCCTTATTATCGTTACCACTTTTTTTGAAGAATGAATAAATAGTTTTTCCTCTTTTTGCTGGTTTATTATCATCATGTGACATGATATCCTAACAAGAAATACCAAACACCAAAAATCATATATGCTAATTAATAATTCAAGTTGCAAAAATAAAACATATATCAACAATCTCCAAAAAAATTCACCCAAACCCTAAATCATAAAAACTTAACAACAACAATTAAAATTGGAAATTAAATATATAAAAAAAGAGAAAAACTTACCAAGATTGAAGAACCCATTGAAGATAGGTTGGTACAATTTTTTAGAGGAGGAGAGCTATTTCCTCTAGGCTCTCAAGGTTCAAATATGGCGTTTTGGGTCGCTAGAAGAATTTTTTTGATGTTTGCTCTCTGTGGGTGTAGCCCAATATCAGTATGATTAAAATAGGTCAAGTTGGTAGAGCCTTAGCATGAGTTCTACTTCTAATCAAATTTATATAGGTTTGGATTGATGTTTATTATTTCCTATATACTTTAGGAATGGGCTTATTTTAAATAAAGCTATTATTTACTTTACTTAAATTGGACTATTATTAGTTTATTATATTTATTTGGTGTAGTGAGCTAATATTTATTGGAGTAGGAATAAACTTAACTATGTAAACTTAACTATATTTAATATTTAAAAATCTTCCCCTAGGTTAGAGCCCACTCCAGCCTAGTAATAGATTCGCCCTTGGTTAAGAGTGTTTAAAAGCAATTTGGACGAAAATGCCCTCAAATGTTTTATTGAGGTTTTATTAAGAACGGAAATGCCCTTCAATGTGTTTGGGCGAAACATTAATTAAGATAAATTCTCTTGTTTTACTTAATTAATAATATTTTTTTTTATCGAAAATGGATATTCACTACCAGACACAAAAACAGAGAAGATGTTTGCCCTAAAAATGAACATAGCTATATAGTTTACTTTAAGAAAATGTGAGTTGCGACATATAATAAATCAAGCCCAAACAGAAGCAAATACATAAAATAACACCAACCACTCATATCAGATCAAGCTAAGTCCATAGCAAAGCAAACCAAAGACATAAACACATCTAGAGCCAAATAGGGAACATCATTTGGCGTGCGGGCCGAAGTGGATAGCCCAAGGTCCGATGGGCCAAAGTCTAGCCCAACCAGTTCTAAGGCTAGGTAGGACTTGTGCTTAGGATTTTAAACCTCCGGCCAAGCCAGATTAGGCCCGCCCATGGCCCGACCCTAGTAGGCTCGCCCATTTGCCTTATTTATGTTTTTTGGTTTTTCCTTATATTGCCTTATTTCCATTCCAAACATTCAAGTAAATGTTTTGTCTTTAAATTTAATTTATTTTTATATTACGCCATTTACTTAAGTTTACAATGTAAATAAGGAAGTCCCCGCATTTGGATTCAATTAAAGATACAGTTTATACCAATATTGATACCTCATAAAATCATGTTTGATTATTTAAGATACAAGGAATATAAATTGCCAAAAATATCATTGAAATCATTAGTATTTCGAAAGTCTATTTTTCATAATTAGTCAAAAATCTACATATTATACTTTAAAAACTGTTTTCTCTCCAAATTTGATTAAGTATGAAAAGACAAGACTCGGCCCGACCTGTAAAAAGAAAAAGCCTGATAAGGCCCGGTCAAAGCCCG